TTTTTTTTCATGATTCCTTTTTAAAACCCAAGTCACTCTTGCAGATTAGACTCATCATCGTCTCGTGAGTTCTCATCTCGTTAAAGCAAAGTGGACTTGAACTTCAAACTTGAAACGGCATACATCCTAGTCGGTTGTGATAATCACGGTAATAATTGCAACAAACAACACACTCACTCGCTCACTCATCGACTCACTCACCTACTTAGTTGTTCTTATAACTGATCTCATTGACTACACTGCAGCAGATTATGGTGGACTAGTTGAGATGACGTGGGAATTTCAGGTGTTTTGAGTTGCCGATGCATTTGAGCGAGTGCCACTGTGCATGCACATTTCTTATCATGATTATTAAACAACGCAGTTGATTTATCTAGGAGAGTCTCACTCATAATCAACACTCATTTGCCATGAGGGTGTTATTTTCATATCGCTGCTGAATTGTATATTTTTTCAAAGTGTTTTTTACATGAAGGAGAAAAGCTACGATTTCCAAAGAAAATACGTTCATACGTGAAGTGAACACTCAAGAGGGCCTGCACAGATGTGCGACTTCATTCACTGTGCTGCCATCTCCTGGCCACTCCACAGCCCAGCGATTTCCAGAGTTTAGCGTATCCGTGTGATCCACCAACGCTGACTTTCCCTCCAAAGTACCGCATTGCAGGGGTGTCGGCAGACGACACGCGCATTTCCCTAGGCCTTCCGAGACACTACAAATCTTCAAATCTCGACTAAAAAACGTATATGGTTAAAATGGCTTTTTCTCATTAGTTAATTTCAAACGTCTTTCTCACTTCGTCTTTCCTTGTTTGATGTTAAACTCTTTTCGCCTTTTCATGCATAGCGCCCCGAGAACGATAGTTTAGGGGTGCTTTATAAATGTAAATAATTATTATTGCCCTCGGTATGTTAAAAGACAATTAACCGATGGGTCCCTTGATTCCTCAGCCCATGTTGAGGACTCACTCTTCCAGACTGACGCTTCATCTCACCCACGCCGCGTTCAACCACCACCACCACCACAATGCGGCTCACAACACTCCACTTGCTATTCCTCCCCTCGCTCTGCTCCACTTTGGAATCACCTCCCATCATCTAATTCCCCAACTTATTCAAATAACAACCTTGCTCAATTCATCAATTGTTACTTTAACGGTGATGTTTGTTTTTGGCCCACTTGGCTTCTTTGGGCCTTTTCGGCCTGCCGCAACCGTGATATAACTAAATAATAGTTTCCCGTGCGTGACACCTTGCCGTCAGTAGCAGCAGAACCTGATTGGTCCCGTTCCAAGTTAAGCGTGATCGATGGGGTCGCGTTCGCACGTGTCCTCGCCACCGCACTGGCTGTGCCTGAGCTCTCGGTGAGGCAGCCAGCAATGTCCCTCTAAAATTAGCGGCAGAGGTGTGCGTGTGGGAGATTTTGGAAGGGGACATTGCAGCGTGGGTTCCGGCCCTGGAAAATGAGCTCTGGCTTAGCCCCCCGTGGTCGGGGATTTGCCCTGGCAGCAAGGCGGTAATTCATGGCATGCTCGGAAGGGCAAACTTCCGGGATGTTATTTTAGGCAGAGGCTTCCATCTCGACGACAACAAATCAATGAAAGCCAGATTTATTGTCACGGCTGTTTAGCTGCAATTTGGCCTACGGAGTTTATGTACAAGTAAAATGCTGGTTTTAAAATCACGAACAAAGTTCAGATGAACAGGCCTGAACCTTCTTGTCAATCCGCTGCTGGATGAAGGCTTCCCCTCGCCACGTTGGTCGTGGAGGTTGTTGGTTCATATTTCACCGTGCCAGTCTGTGCGGGTTGGTTACGGGGATGGGTTTCCCAGGACCGGTTCAGATATTACTAACGACTGATGTTAACCGTGAACAGGAATCAAACTGGTCGCCAGATTAGTCGTGTAGAGCGCTAACCACTGTGCCACCGCTCCACCTACGTTTCATATACACATGTCATTTTTTAATGTAATGTACGTGTTACATTTTTTGTAACATATGTTTGGGTTTATTTTGTATTGTAGCACTGTATGGAATATCAACCCACTGATATAAACAGAGTAGAATAAAAATAAACAATATCGGGGCCAATGTGACTTATCCAGAATTTACAACAAATCGTCCATCATTAATAAAGGCGGACAAATTAAACTCAAGAGGCAAAGTTGCATCTTGACAAATAGCGAAAACCCATCGCCGTCAAAATCTGCCCATGGTTGATTAAAAAAAAACACTTCCATACACTTTCACCAAAAAAACCGGACAAAAAACGGCATTCACCAACCCATGAATGAGGCAATTGACTCCAACTTTATTAGGATACCTTACCATACACTGCAGAAAATATAAATAATACATTCAACGTACTGTACGGTGGTTTCAATGGTACGCTTTGCCTCGAAAGTCGAGTTGCTGAATTCATTTCCTGAAGAAACTCCCCAGCACGTGGAGCGAAACGTCGGACACAACAAAACGCGGGGGCGGGACACGACGACCCCCCCAAGCGCATCGCACGAAACCAATGCGGCTTTGCTAGGACCCCTTTTACCACTTCACCCTGTTACCTGTGCTCCACTCGGCTTGCGTATAAAACACCGTGCTCCCGTGCAGCGGGCTATTCACCGCGACCCACGAAGTGAAACTGCACACCTCCCCCCCCAAACGTCCGTCCCCTTTGAAGGTAGCAGTGGGGCCTTTGTGCGCTTGTAAAAAGAGATGCTGATAATTATAGATGACCTCTTACCAGTCGTATTCAGCACTTTATAAGACGATGCTTTTGTATCACGTGCTCCGATGGCCTGATGCAGCATATTCTCAATAGAGACCTACAACTATCTATGTAATTGTATTCAATCTGGTTTTAAAATCTAATTTTCTAAAGTGCTAATAATTATTGAAGCCAGATTTGAGTCTTTCTTCATTTCTCCCGCTTTCTCTCTCTCCCTTGCCATGTGCTCATGGTGTTGTTGTTGTTGTTCTTGTCACAACTCCTCCAATGGCGTCCCGTCCTTAGTGATCCGTGTTCAATTCTAATATTCGGCTTCAATGTTCACAAAACATTATTGCTTAAATTTTGGCCAAATACCAATCCCTCCCAAAAAAACAGCTGACCAACCATTTGGCCAGATTTGAAGGCAAATTAAAATATGTTTTAGTACACCCCTAAACATTGTGGAATAATTAAAGTGTGTGTGGGTGTGTGTGCAATCAGCTGTAACATGTGAGATACTTTTCACGTATGAAACCACGACAAAGAAGGCCCGTGGTGAGCTTATTTGAAAGACAGGAATTCCAGTTTCCATAAAGCGGCGTCACCGATTGGCTCAGGCCTCATTACTTTCTCATCCTCGCATGGAGTGCCCGCTGCCTGCTGGGGTGGCACGCTTTCAAGCCGTGCTACATGTTGGGCTCGGTCAAGAGGTATTTTAGTCGACGTTAACCCCACTGTGTTTCCGGCGTTCCACTCGGTGTCCTGCCACATACCGTTGTCACAGCGGGAGGCACGAAGAGCCACTAAGGTCGCCGAGTCAGTCCACTGTTGTTCGCACTGCGCCTGACGAATTTCTCGCGTCAGACGTCAATTCTGACAGGTGGCCCGAGGGCTAGATTTGCTTGTGCGTTAAGGTCCACAGATCTCTCTAATGATGGCCAGGGTGAGCTTCCCTTGTCCAGGCCTATACTAAATGACACCTCTGCGGGAACTTTGTCCTCCACCGTGCTGTTCTCTGGCACACATTTTGTAAATGCTGCTTTCTTGCTGTCAAGAGTTTATAACAAAAATCCACGTGAGCATTTGGCTGAGTGTGCTGTTTGTGGGTTCGGATTTGGTAGCCGATATTGCGGGGAGCGGTGGCGCAGCCATCGATTTACGATCACAGCCAATACCGGTGACAATTATCTGAACGGGTCCTGGGCCTCACCTAGGTCGACTCAGCCTCAAATGAGTACCTGGTGCGTTGTTTAAACATCACCGATGGGGAGATACAGGTGGTCGGGAGTGGTGCTGGCAACCAACCCCACCGTGTACCGTGCCGACCTTCGAAGGTGCTCGCTAACAGCACTTGCCCCAAGTATGTGAAGGCTATCGGGGGGAATCTTTGTCTTTGATGGCTGATTGGATGATCATCATGCGTGCATGAACTGCAACAGATCATTTTGTCTCGTTTGCACTACATACGATTGCGTTTATGAACACTTGATGTTTTTGCTATCGTGATATAACATGTCCATTGACAGAGGTTTTTTTTTATTATAGATGTTCTGTAAATCATTAAAATGTCCTGCATTATAATTTACAGGAAATACACACAAACATTGCAGGAAATAGAAAGTGTGCCGACTGAGTGCAAATAAATACGAAAACATGATTTGCATATTGTGTTTAATCTGGCGTGTAGACTGCAATGTACGAACATTTTTACTCCGTGTTGTTTTGGCTGATGTGTAAACAAACACCGGTGAGCATTACAACATTGACATGTTTGTCCTACAAACGCTCATTGAATGATATGGAAATGCTCTAATTTCCACGAGCGAAGGACCTGGAAAAATTTTTTTGTCATTGTTCAGCATTTAGTAGTTTTTTTTCATTTATTTCAATTACAAATTTTCTTAACCTGATACTTCACTAAAAATATATTTTTTCCATCTTCATTAACTTCCTTTGAATGTTTACTCTGGTGTCATGCTGTCTCTAAAATGCCGCTTATAAATGTGTTTTACCTTTCAATTGCTTTCAGCTTAAGACCTGTAATAATATTCGTCATTGTTTAGCATTTAGTAGTTTTTTTCATTAATTTCAAACACAAATCATCTTTACCTTATACTTCGCTCAAAAAAATAAACTTTTCCTGCCTTCATTAACTTCCTCTGAATTTTCACTCTTTTGTCATGTCGTCTCTAAAATGTCGCTTGTAAATGTGTTCTAACTTTCCTTTGGCTTCTCTTTTCCTTGCTTTCATGCCCCACATTTCCTCTCCGCCCTCCTACACGACCGTAGCACTGGAAAAAAGAGGTAAGTCCGCACTGAATGCAACCGATCCCTAACGCGTGGCAATAAAACCATTCATTTTCTTTCCGCACATTCTTTACAAACCCCCCAAAAAAGCACAACAGTAATTAATCGTTTTTTAGAAACTAAATGAAACGACTAGTTTTAACAATAATTTACCACCCATTGTCAACCCACTTAATGGATGCAGGCCACATCGTGACATTGGTTACATGGATTGTTTTACCATAGTTCACGACACCGGTTGATGTGGGGTTACTGAAGGGGGTGGGAGAGATAGCTGTGGCTTTGAATCAAACTCAGATCGCTGGGTTCGTAGCACTAGTGCGCTAACCACTGCGCCACCACTCTCTTCCCTACCCCTCTGTACTATTTAAGTAAATTTAAAGTACGGTGTAGAGTATAAGGTGTAACAATCTCCTTGATTCTAAACGTCCGTGTATTTTACGTAAAATACACGCAATGCCATTGTGTTTAATATATATTTCAATTCACTACTTTATTCCTTTCTTTAAATCCCGTGGAATGCCATCTCTGAGCATGCTTACAGAGAATGCCGGCTTATTCAGAGGCTTTCGGAAGAATGACACAAAAAAAAGGCGTGACATATTTGAGACGACAGGGCCCTGCACGTTGAGGGAATGCTGCTTAAGCACCACCTGTCGTCTGTTCGAATTCTTTTGAATCTGCACGCCATCGCACGCACCTCCCCTGCACGGGCAATGCTGCACACAGGCTGGGCACATATGGCATTGTGGTACGGTCGGTGTTGAGTGCAAATTTCACGAGGCTCGTGCGGCCTTTGAAGAGCAACTTGCATAAATGCGAGCGAGGCTTTCGTATCAGAGTACGAGGGGTGATCGATATACGTCTTTGGCAAGATAACACAGAGCGAATGTCCAAACTTCATATTTCAACTTTATTCATACGTATGTTGAACTTCTTTCGCACCGTACGTAGCCAAACAAAAAACTAAACACAAAAGCAGTTCCAAAGAAATTAGTTTTCAATCTCGACTTGAGAACGCATAGCTTCAGTGACTTCCTAATTGCAGAGAGAGGAGCGCTCCAGACGGCCACAGAAGCTCACCTGAAAGCGCGCGATGCAGTGGCCGTCTGTTTTTTCGATGGCTAGCCAAAAGCCGCTGCGAGGATTCGGTATGACTGCACGTGTGACCCTGTCACCAGTTAATCCTGAAGTCGGCCTCCATGCACCCAGTATTGGTAGACCGCACGGGCGAACGGCGAAATCGGAGTGCGATTGTACCACGATGGTAAAACGTTGCCAGTGAGGGGTAACGTGATAAACCCAACGCAGAAGATGCCTGGGTTTGATCTTCTGCGAAGCTCATAGTCCACCCTTAACCGTATCCACTGAAACAAACCATGGCAGATGCGGATGCATGATGCACAAATGCCAAAATAAAAAAAAAACTCTCCAGTAGTGGTGCAACTGTGGTCATCCAGAACAGACCGCACAACGTATGACGACGCAATTCCCAATCCACAAATACGACGGAGACATCACAGCGATGATGATGATATACACCGCTGCTCCTTATCTGGCTTGACCACTTGAATGTGAAATCGTAGTCGTTGCTCTGCGTCTACACGCAGATTTGCGAATCTGTTTGCAACCGGCTTTGCTATAAACGAGGCGGCGTGTGGAGGAGCAGCGGCAACATCCAACCTGCAGCAGTGGCACGATGCACAGAAACAGCAACAGCAGCAGCAGTTGTGGTTCATGAAGCCTTATCTGGAAGCAGATTCTCCTGATATGCTTCAAGCTTCTTCAATCCCAGTGGGGCTTAGTGACACCCAGTCATACCCGAGTGAAGTTGAACTATCTGAAGCAGGGCTGCGGAAAACTGTCATCTAAGTAAATGTACAGTTCTAAGTGGACAACCATTACCATAGTGATAGGGATAGTGATATAGGTAGTGATATGGGTTGGGGTAGTGATTGTGGTAGTGATAGGGGTTGGGGTAGGAGTTGGGGTAGTGATAGGGATTGGGGTAGTGATAGGGGTAGTTATAGGGGTAGTGATAGTGGTAAGGGTAGTGATAGGGGTCGTGATAGGGGTCGTGATAGGGGTTGGGGTAGTGGTAGGGGTTGGGGTAGTGATAGGGGTTGGGGTAGTGGTAGGGGTTGGGGTTGTGATAGGGGTTGGGGTAGTGGTAGGGGTTGGGGTAGTGATAGGGGTTGGGGTAGTGGTAGGGGTTGGGGTAGTGATAGGGGTTGGGGTAGTGATAGGGGTTGGGGTAGTGGTAGGTGTTGGGGTAGTGGTAGGGGTTGGGGTCGTGATAGGGGGAGGGGTAGTGATAGTGGTAAGGGTAGTGATAAGGGTCGTGATAGGGGTCGTGATAGGGGTTGGGGTAGTGATAGGGGTTGGGGTAGTGATAGGGGTTGGGGTAGTGGTAGGGGTTGGGGTAGTGATAGGGGTTGGGGTAGTGATCGGGGTTGGGGTAGTGGTAGGTGTTGGGGTAGTGATAGGGGTTGGGGTAGTGATAGGGGTTGTTTTAAGGGAGGAACCAAAGCAGGTTAGTGAATATGATTGTTTAATGTGCTCCCACAATGAAAATTCTGACTGTTACTCTTCAAATAACTAACTTGTGTGCTCTGGCATGTCATATCACCCTCCCAAGCTACACTTGTATTTTTGCTGTAACTTCTAGTTAACGAGCCCCTAAAAATACCAATGACCCAGCACTGCTCATACAAACATAGCCTCAATTAATTGCGTCACAACCATTTGATTTTATTATGGCAACAGCTTAGTCCAGAAAGATCGTGTGAGTAGCATTTGATACGAGTGTTGAATGCACAAGCAGCTGAATACAAAGACCGCATTTCTGGATGGCAGGGTCATTCGGAGTTTATTTGCTCCTTTAATTTACAAGTTCTGTGCTACAACAACATCCTGTTTTTTTAGCCAGGAGGATGCTGATTTATTTAATCCGAACAGATACTTTGAGTTCACTTCGCTTCCAAGGCAAAAAAACAACAGTTAAAACTTAATTAGCATTTCTCCTTGCATACTGCCCTTACATATTATCAAAAGTAATACTAGTCCAATGACTAGTAAGTGGATATTTTAAGTAAGTATGTATGTTTAGTTCTTTCGCACCGTACGTAGCCAACCGTGCTAATCGGAGGTGCAATTTTAAGAGCCAAATTAATCTTCTTGGTTCTTTCGGTAAAGTCACGTAGAAGGGAAATAATAAAATAATACAAATAAAACATTATAAAATACAATTATCATGACGTTTCGGCCACAACGTAAGCAGCCGTCCTCAGGTGAAGAACAGGTCTGTCAGAAAGACAGCGTCTGAATGAACACCACCAAGCTTGGAAAGAACCAAGAAGATGAATGCCTTCAGTGTCGAAAGCTTTAAATAGAGCCAAATTAACTTAGAATCAAACGTCTTGCTTTTGCGAAATTCTGGCGATTAGGTGGAAATTGCTGAAGCGGACGAGTCGTCGTTTGTATGCACCTCTGACTTATTTTGCACCGTCCATAGCCAACCCTGTTGACATCGGGCAACGCACAGGCTGCTAGCCCGCCGTAGTGATTGAGAAGACGTCGGCAAAGGCGGCGACGATGAGCCGGTGGCCCGTTCGGTTAATCTAACGATTCTAGATTTGAAGCTTTCGTGACTGCAATATTCTTAGGTTTTTTCGGTAAAGTCCGTCTTCAGGTAGAACCGTCAAGCAACGATAGCTGTATCACTTGATACAGCTATCGTGCTGTGACGGTTCCACCTGAAGACGAAGGCTTGTGTTGCCTCCGAAACGTCGTGATTAAAATTTAATTTTTATTTTACTTTTATTAATTTTAATTTAATTTTTTTTACCTACGTGACTTTAATCGAACGATGCTCGCTTTTCCTCCCTTGGGTTGCAGGTGCGGAAGCACGTGAACGACATGTACGAAGACCTCCGGGACGGTCACAACCTCATCTCTCTGCTGGAAGTGCTGTCAGGAGAGAAGCTGGTATGCACGCGGCGGGTGTTACCTCTTTTCACTCGCCCTGTCGTGCCTCGCCGTTGGTCAGGCCCCGATTGGGGGGGGGGGGCAATCCGAGGAGGGAAAACACGATGAAGTCGAAAATAAAAAAAAAACTCGACACATTCGTCAACAACACACGGTGGTCTTAAGAGAGAGGGGTAAAAAATATTTAAAAAAATCGGCGACGTTTTGGGCAATGGGCCTCCTTCATAGCACACCGATTATATGTTGTTTCTTCTTTTGACACGTGATGGAAAAAAAAACACCACTTGCGTTTAACCCGCATGCCCCACTGCAATGTTGATGCTCGGGAAGAACAGTGAATCCGATTCAGCATGCGCTCAATGCGGATACACCGCACTCACCAAACCGCCGTGAGAATCATCGCATATTTGTCCTCTTTGAGCTGTGTTGGCTGCACACCCGGCCTGCCATGGGCTGAGATCCTTCCACCTTCTTGCACACTCCTATGTTGACTGATATAAACGTTGTGCCCTCCTGTATGTAGTACATTGACTGTGATGTATGAGTTGCACCCTCCTGTATGGCATACATTGACTCTGATGTACGTTGCACCATCTTGAATGTGGTGCACTTGCTCTGACATGCATGCCTGCTGAATGGACTTTTTACGCACTCATTGTTTATCCATTAACACTCGCAAACTGTGGCTTCAGGCTTCTGCTGCAGTAACATTTCCTTGAAACCCACCACTCTTTATAACAATCCTTTAATTGGAATACCGCGCAATCGCTTGCTGCAGACAGCGCAGAGACATTGCAGGCTTCACCACCGTTGTGAGAAATCGCTTTGCATTCATTCAGCACTCGGAACAAATGCCGTAAAAAGAAATGAGAGTCGTGACACAGTTATACATTGGCGTACAAACCCGGTTGTTATAAAGAGATGTTTCTGTAATTTTCTTTAGAATCTTTTTTTTTTCACTTTAATGTTCACAGTGTGTTTCTCTTGCTTGCCTGGCCTTTGCCCTGTGACCCTTTTGTACTCTGCCTCTGGCTGCTATTATCGCCCTTTGACCTTTGCCGCTGCTACCTGATGCAGCCAAGGGAACGTGATATTTTCAAGCAATTGCGACTGGTAAGTCCCTCGGATGGGGAAATAAAACAAAACATCGATTGCTGTGAAATCATACAACGACGAACAGTGACATGTCCAGGTATGAAAAAATAAGAATAGGTTTGACCTTAAATGGCAATAAAGCAGGTGTTAAGATGTTCAAATTCTTAGGTTTTTTCGGTAAAGTCACGTAGGTAAAAACATCAAAATTAATGAAAATAAAATTAAAAAAAAAATCACGACCTTTCGGATTTTTTGTTTAATTTTATTTTCATTAATTTTGATGTTTTTACCTACGTGACTTTACCGAAAAAAACCTAAGAATATGAATCCTTGCAGTCACGAAAGCTTCAAATCAAGATGTTCAAACACCAAATAGAAACCTTATGCAAGGAATCCAGTCTTGTAGTGAACATGCATGCCTGCATGTCTACATGTTCACCACAAGCACGTGTGGTTAATGCAGACTTGATTCCTTGCAAAATCTTTCTGTTTGGCGTTTGAACATCTTAATAGCTGTTTTATTGCCAGAAAGGGTAAAAAGCGTTTTTTTATATTTTGATACTGGAAAACAGGTCCCATTTTGTAGTGACATATCCAGTTACGGTACGTTCAAATCACCAACAAAAGGCAAGGAATTATGTTTTTAATTCAAACAGGCAAGACATCACATTATCTGTTTGAATTTTACTTTTCGGGGAAAAATGCACACCTTGGCAAAATGTTTAAAAGAAGTCAACGAGGCAATCTTCTGGCCGCACTTCATAATTACTCACAGGTCTAATGACTATAATCATTATGAAATCTTCTTCAGTAATTCACCCTCAAGGCTTCCATGATGAGCCGATACTCGTGCATTGGTTGTCAATCCAAACGAGATGTTCTCTACAGAAGCTTGTTTTATTTTTATATTTTAATACCATAAGAAAGTGCAGTATACACTCTAGTGTATTATACGCAGCACGTCATATACATTATGTCAACCGGAGGAGGCGAGTATAAATGAAAAATACCTAAAAAAAGGATTTTTTCTTAATATCTAAGTTTATATTGTTTTAAGCACTATCTGGTTATTAGAATTGTAGTTTTGTTTATGAACAGTTGCAGCTCTTATTTAACAGATTCCACAGATGATGTCTGTTTGATAATAAAAAAACAACTAAGCATGATATGAAGTATACAAGCAAAAGTAGATCTTTAATCCATATACACATTAATTAAAATACGTCAATTCATCAGCCGATGGGCATCCCGGACTAATGTTTTATCGACAAATTTGTTTCCGTAGGAAAATTTCTGGACCGATTGTGACATTCCGAGTTTCAACAGCAGAGTCAGGCGAATTGAACGATTGATGCTTAGTTGTGAGATGTTATAGGCATTGGGCGCTCCATCAGACGTTAACTTGTGAGGTCTCATTTCTGCCGTCTTGAAGTCCTGCTCCAAAATGAAATACGAAAGAGACATGCGCATTTAGCTGATCACATTTATTTGCCCCGACATTATTACGAAGGCCATTAACATTTTGTTGTTCGATTGCATTTTCACAAACAGCCCCTTTGTAACCCACGCATCCTGTGACCTCACCCATTTGCTTACGGTGACAGCGCTGTCACGATACTGTGTTTCACCTCATGCGTTTCATCTCAGCATCACCTTCACATAAATCCTCAACTGCTTCACCCAAGCACAGCCAATGTCGTACGTGTTTCCATTCGCGGCAGGCTCCTAATTGCCATGGTAACATTACACCATCCCCTACGTTGTGCGTGCCGAGTGGATCCCTTTTATCGAGTTAGGGTGGTACAGAGTTTAATTGGAACGGAACTGAGGATTAGTACAGTGCCGTAATTAGCGTGCGTGACCACTCTAACAGTGATCTAATGGGAGGCCTAATCTAAAAGAGTTCCCCGCCCTGCCGCGTGGATATGTCACACAGCATGCCAGAACCGTGGGTGTTTTATGGATTTTAATTGGTTTCCTTCCAAGTCATTGGATTCCCAGCCGCTGTTGCGAGCTTCTTCCAATTCCCATCGCTTCACTTGTCTGTGCTGCTCATTGCGCCATCCGCTCATGCACTTTGGGACACAATTTCATGGCACCCCGCCCATTAACTAGCTCGCCTAGTATATAGGAGGTCGTTGGTTCGACCCCGACCCTAACGCCTGCTGTATATGTGGTTGTGTGGATTTTTCTCCGGGTCCTCCAGTGTTTTCCCCACCACATTTAGAATCGATGTCACCACGCGTTTTCGAGTAGTTGGTTGCTGCTGTAAATTTCCACGTGACGATGGGCCAACTTCGTTGAGCGATCATTTTTGACGGCCAGGTCGCTTCTGAGAAAGAGCTACGCAGCTCAGCGTGGGCCTTACCTGGTGAAATAAAGAAGAATAAAGAGAGCCCTCATTCTGTTCCACCACCTTCATTTACCACGACGGTGGGAGGGCGGGCGGGCGAGCGGGCGCAGTGAGACTGGTCCAGTGTTCCATGGATTTTGGCACCGCAGGAACGGGGCAACAGCGCGAGGCGGTGGCGGTAAATTAACGCATCGCGAACTCTCTTTTGGAGGACCCTGGGAGTGCTTGGGTGGAGAACGTTCAACGATTTTTAACAGGCAAAAAATGGCGCCCACCCCCCACCCCACCCCCCGCCTTCCTTTCAAGTGGAGCCAGGCATCTCTTGAATTGACCTACAAGAACATTCAGAAGCGGCGCACTGCATCATTGCCCCATTGCGAGGCCCGCTGAGAGGGACATTGCCTTGCATTTCGGGGGCCGTTGGGCTGTTTTATAATTGCCCACTGGTAATTATGGCTACACAAAGCACACCATTTACGTGTCCCATTGGCAGCGGTGTTCTCGCTTAATCATCAGCTTCTCACATCTGCTGAAACGTGTTCGTGTGAAGTACAGCATTGCATTTTGCAGTAGTGCTACATCCACGTGAATTGCTAACGGAAGAGCTGCATCTGAATGTTGTATTGGATGTCATTTGCAAGTTCTGGAGTTGCAAGACATGACACTTCAACCAGTTCGTGTTTTTTTTTATTTTCATTCGAGCCGCAATGACAGCGAATAATAAACATTTTGCATTGGACAACTTTGTGCCATCCACATTCGGTAGAAGACACTTATATGAATGTGTATATATTGTGGTTCCAGCTAGGCAAGGCAACACAGTCTGCCTCGGGTCTACTCGTCCCAGCCGATAACAATGTGCGGTGCGAATTTACAAATGGAACACGAAGGCCGCATGTGGTGGTCGTGATGATGATGATGCTGCACCAGCGCTGGGCTCCACCAGACCAGTTCTCCGTGGACGCTGCTGCGTGCGCCCGTCTGGTAGGGACGGAGCTCGTACGGTGAAGCTGCTGCCAGCAACATTCCGGCTTCTCAATTAGTTCACGTGCGAGCAAGTCACCTAAGGCTGGAACAACAACCATGAGATGGAATCTGTTGCCTTCCTCCCTCGACCTGGAGGCACGAACTGCCACCACCTGCTCCGGGTGCATTGTGGGGGCTTTCGTGAATGCAACAGCAGCAGTGTCAGCAACAGTGTCGTTTTAGTCAGGCATTGAATGCGCTTTCTTCTTCAGCACGTGCAAAGCTAATCCAAGTAACGGCACTGTTTAAAGCCCGCCTCGAGACGCATTTATTTTTCTTGCTTTAGGTTTCCTGAATCGCCTTCTCTACCTTTTTTTTCCTTACTTTGGCGAACGATTTCTTTATTTGGGATGTACAGCGCCTTGAGTACCTTGCAGAAAGGCGTTTTCCAAATGTAATTGAGTATTCATATTGTTATATACAGTCCTTGTCCAGGTGCAGCATTGTGGTAATGATGTGTACATTCACGAACTGAAATTGACTTTATTACGCTGCATCGGATGGTGCATGTCACAATCGATTCTTTCCATTTACACCATTTAAAAGTGACGGCTCACGTACACACGCAGAACACCATTCGCGGTGCACCACGATGGAAAAAAAAGGCTATTTATTATAATTGAGATGAGCTGCTAACAAATGCATCTCTTTGCAAAATGCATGAACAATTACAGTAAAGCGAACATACAGTGCAAGATTCGCAATTGATTGTTGGGGTCGGTTCGCGTAAGTGCGTCAGTAAAAATGTGTGTCGCAAAACCCTCTTCCACCCGACAGCCGATTCAAAGTTGTCACGTGACAAACGTCTCGATACATTTTTGCGTCAGCAGCACCGCCGGTAGTTTTTGGAGCACCGCATTAGAGCCATAAAATCGTACACCTGACAAAATCACCCATCAGAGGTTTGCCCATATTTGGTCATTGCGGATTGTTAACCGAGATTTAATTGTATTGATTCCACTCAGTCGATCCATAATAAACAAACATAAAAAATACCGGGCTAATAATCATTTGTGGGTTTAATCTCAGTGTCGATTAATTGTTAAATCAATCCATGGATCGAGTAATGATGTAACATGCCCCCTTCATTTGATTGGCTAATATCAGAAAGATTGGTGATTCCATTGCAGTCAGCTTTGATTGTGACCACAATGTCCTTCAGAACTTTATTTGAACAACTTGGCACCACGATTCGCTGGCAGATATACAGCCAGCATCATCCGGCAGTTTCCAGAAACTATTTATGGAAACTGCCTGACAGCTTCATTCATTAGCTTGTGTTGGATGGAGGAGGGATTACGATGCACATTTTACTGACACAATCTGACCCAGCAATCGATTATGAAACGTAATATTGGTTGCCAAAACGCTGCTACGTACGGTGCGAAAGAAGTTCAAAGTACATACGCGCAATGGCACACTGGCTTATCACAGTGTTACTTTTGCGACGAATCGAGTATGATGTTATCGTCACAATGCCTTTGGCAATTGATACGTGCCCCCAACGAGGTAAGCTCGGCATGAAACGGTTACCCGGTACGGTGAAAATCAGCAATGGCAACCAGCCGTGTGTGACGTTGGCCACACCGCATCACAGTGCGGCGAGTTAGTGTTTAATAGATGTTTGCAGATACGGTATTGTTGGAAGTATGGGGATCTGCGTGTACTTGTAACAGATGCCGTGCTCTAACATGCTAAGTGTGGTGGTTGTGCTGCTGCTTTCAGCCTCGTGAGAAAGGCCGCATGAGGTTCCATCGTCTCCACAACGTCCAGATAGCCCTCGACTTCCTGCGTCTTCGCCAGGTGATTCCGCTGCGCAGAGCCACGTGCTCGTAGCGACACACGAGTCACGATGTCTCATGAATTACACTGGTCAACACACTTTTTCTGGCATAAGGTATTCCAACGGTTTTAAGGTAATTTTGGGGTGCCGATTCCAAATCTGGCATCAGTTTTTGTCTATTACATCAGGTTTTTGAGATATCAAATATTGCATTTTCAATAAAAACTGCAGAAGAAACATTAAATAAATGTGGATATCTACATAAAATTATATTATAAACACACTATCCTAAAAATGCAGCACCATATTTTAACACTAAAGCAGTCACTGACTTGCAACAACTTGCAATCATAAGTGACAGAGTTAATTCAGGGTAAAATCAATGAAAATGGGGTATGCCGATAGCATAAAAATGAGATGTGATAGAGCAAATCTGAGATCAGATTTGGAATCAGCACCCTGAAATTAGTCTAAAACAGCTGCAAAAGTCCAGGCCAGAAAAAAATGTTTTGTTGTTGTTGACCAGGGTTATCTTAAGAGCTTGTGTGTAAAGCCTTATTTAACAACTGAGATAGCATCCGTGCTGCAAACTCATTGCTCAGGCTCAAGTTCAAGCTCATGACCTTCTCCTCTGCCTTTGACTATCCCATCTCTTATCAGAATCAGAATGTTAATTTTGTCCTAGAGAAATCCGATGAGCTCTTTTTCGCAGATGTCCAGTAGGGGCATGTCATAAAGTTACAAACAACAAACAATAGGAAAAAAACCGATAGGAAGTGCAAAGTTTAGGTTAAGGTAAGCAATTCACTAAAGATATATGGAAAATATACCACTTAAATATATATAGTACACATACAGGATATATTATATTCATGATCATCAGCTGTGATCATCTATGGAATGCTGGATACACACTGCCATCACAATCCATCTTCCTGGCATGCATGAGCTCTTCTCATCACTGCGTCTGGAGATTGCGTTGGTACTTTGGCCCTCTGTAAGTCCAGACTGTAATTGTAACGCGCAGATCAAGCTGGTGAACATCCGGAGCGATGACATCGCGGACGGAAACCCCAAGCTCACCCTTGGGCTCATCTGGACCATCATCCTTCACTTCCAGGTCAGAGGGCAACACGTGGAATGTTCAATATTGATGATGGCTTGCTTTCTCACCTGCGAATTCTGTTACCTCTTCAGTTAGAATACTTGAATGATTTGTCTTTTTTATGTGTATTGATTTGGAGGTCATTTCATGCCATTTGAATTGCAAAATATATATTGGATGTGGCGGCTTTTAAATAAACATTCATTGCGTCACATGGGATTTGTTTTGAATGTTTATTTTTGTTACAAATCATTGTTTTAACCCTTTGTTAACAATTTCAATGACGTTGGGCTCAATTGCCTTTAAATCGAACGATGTCATTTGTTTTTACTTATTCTCGTGCATATTTAGAATACACAACAGTATAATACTTTGTATCGCAGGCACCGCTATTATCATCACTGCTCTGTTATTCACAACTGCGATGAGCACGGTTGGCTACGTACGGTGTGAAAGAAGTTCAACATACGTGCATGCAGCTCTATCAACCCACCTGGCCTCTGTGGGGGGAGAAATGTTAACTGCTTTGTTAAAGAGAGGGATGCATTTTTTCCCAACTATTGCCTGAATATCATTACACCTCCTTTACCAGTACCAAAATATAATAATAGGGTTTTTCCCCATTTTTCTGGCAACAAGACTGAAACCTTTTTACAAGGAATCATGTCTGCATTAACCACAATGCTTGTGGTCAAAATGCAAACAAAAAAAACACTGATAATATATGCATTGTCCTTGAAACTGATTGGTCCACACCAGAGACGGCTTTGTGTGTTTTTTGTTTGCATTTTGTATTGTGGTTAATGCACACATGATTCCTTGTAAACAGGTTTCAGATTTGTTGCCACAAAAAATGGGAAAAACCCTATTATTATATTTTGGTACTGGCAAACGAGGTCTAATGATGTAGATATTTACCCCGAGCCATCATTACTTTGATAGTGCATTGTCTTTGAGCTGTACGCCTTTTGGCGGCCTCTGGTCTAGCACCAATTGAGACGAGGCTCAAAAGAAAGCTGTCTCTGGTGTGGACCAATCAGTTTCAAAGACAATGCATTTATTATCAGTGTGTTTTTTGTTTGCATTTTAACCACAAGCATTGTAGTTAACGCACACATGATTCCTTGTAAAAAGGTTTCAGTCTTGTTGCCAGAAAAAAGGGGAAAACCCATATTATTATTATATTTCATGAATACTTCACTTCGGTCTCGAATGCATCGTCGCTATCACGGACCACTTTCCAATGCGCAAATACTCGGAACGGCTTCGACAAGCGAGAAGACTTTACGCGAGGAGGCGCGACATCGACTGTTAACTCTCAACGTTCTTGCCGGAGAGATGGCAACGTGCGAGGAGCGCACACAAGCAATGGAAATTGTGTCAAAGGGGGAGGTGAAATAACAGACAATGAAGGAGGCTTCTCACCCCCGGGGTGGGTTCCAGCAGAGTCATTACTGGCAACAGGAATTCCGCTGCGGGCAGAACACAAGACGGATCTTGCCTCGGCGTTAGCGTTCACTCTGCCAAGACAAGGGGAGTCATCCTTCGTCTTTATTGGAACGTATTTTTGGCGGGAGAGGAAAAAGGCCTATTTTAGCTGTTGTGACAAAAAAATCAACCGGAGGTTTGCTTTAACGCATATATTCATGCATTTGGCGAGTGGAACTTCATCCTGGCTCATAGGTATGTATGCAGCCGGATAAATATGTCTGGAACGTACGTGTAATGTGAAAATGTCGTGCATTGAACAAATATACAACAAAGACAAAGATTCTAGATTTGAAGCTTTCGTGACTGCAAGGATTCATACTCTTAGTTCTTTCGGTAAAGTCACGTAGGTAAAAAATAAAATTTAAAATTAATAAAAAATAAAATCACGACGTTTCGGAGACCTTGATACAGAGTTTCTGCTGTGACAGTTTCACCTGAAGACGGAAGCTTGTGTTGCCTCCGAAACGTCGTGATTTTATTGTTTTTATTTTTTATTAATTTTAATTTAATTTTTTACCTACGTGACTTTACCGAAAGAACTAAGAGTAAAGACAAAGATCCCCCGTGTAGCCTTTTAACAGACTTGTGGCAAGTGCTGTTATTGAGGACCTGTGAGAGCTGGCACGGCGCACGAAGGAGTGGCTGGCCTGCATCACGCCCGCCCGCCCACCTTTGTCTCTAAAGTGGTGATGTTAACACACCACACCTGTAACTCATTTAAGGTTGAGTCGACGTAAGCGAGGCCCGGCACCAGTTCATACATTCACCACGGCTATCGGTCGTGAGCGGGAACTGAACTCGGGTCGCCGGGTTCGTAGCCCAGTGTCCCTAACCACATATGCACCGACAGTAATTGCCCACACGTAGGCCTCAAGCTAACGGACTGAGCCATTTTGTCGACACTTGAATGGTTCATCTTCTTGGTTCTTTCGGTAAAGTCACGTAGAATGGAAATAATAAAATAATAAAAATAAAACAATAAAATAATTTACACGACGTTTCGGCCACAACGCAAGCAGCCGTCCTCAGGTGGAGAACAGGTCTGTCTTCCCGAAACGTCGTGAGAATTATTTTATTATGTTTTATTTTTATTATTTTATTATTTCCCTTCTACGTGACTTTACCGAAAGATCCAAGAAGATGAATCCCTGCAGTCACGAAAGCTTTCAATCGAAACCTAAATGGTTGTCTGACAACTGTGCAACACAATGACGGACGCTTGTGTTGCGCCCGAAACGTCGTGATTTATTTTATTTTATACCTACGTGACTTTACCGAAAGAACCAAAGAGTAAGGCCATAGTCGGTATCACTTAATCTTGATTGCATTCAGCTATGCATGCCCCTTCGAAGACGTCACATTACAATTGTTGCATGGCTGAACACTCACATGGCCATTCAAACGATTTTAGCATCTATCATCCTAACTGCTGTTGCCTTCTAATATTTAGGGTCCCCAATACCTGGACATATACCTCACTCAGTCAGCCCTTGGCCTATCAAGACAGTGAAGGCTTACTGGAGTAAAGTGCAACAGCATACCGGTGCCAGATCTCAGCACAAACCAATTCCTGCCACACCCGAACATAGCATGCCAATTCTCGGATTGTCTGGGTCAAATCCAGATAGGTGGCAACTCAAACTGTACAATGTCACCGATCATATCAGCCTCAAAAGTCCCATACGGTGAATGTATGGTTACCGGTGAAGTGGTTTGAACCCGGAATGTAATTTGCAATGTATGTTAAAGAGGGTTTGTTGCAGCATAACTCCTCGTCGGTGTTTTGCACAACTCCCTCCTGCTAGTGGTCACATTTCTGTGGTCAGAACATAAAATGGGCGGGTGGACTAAAGAGGAGCTTAGACGTGTGTGTGTGAATTCCAGCCGGGCGTTTTCTAACAGGAAATAAATAACAAATACGTGCACGCATTGAGATAATGCTACCTTTCAAACTGCGACTTGCTCTCGGCCACAAGCTGAAAGCAAAACAATTGGAGCATGAGGCTATGTGGTCCCCCGTTTCTACCGAGCGCAGTGTGATTAACCGGAACAGTGGGGGCAAGGGGAGGCAAGCGGATCGACTCCTGACACTGAAACATTGTACGGTGGTGAGCACCGAGCGACAGTTAGTCCGAGGGGAAACAAGAAGGATAAACCCAGACATCGCGCTGATGTGACTTTATTTCCTGCTCTGTGTGATTACATTAGTCCCCTTTGTCCCCCTCATCCTTCCCTTACCCGTTAATCTGCTGCTCGCGTCCGTAAGTATGCACGTTGAATTTATTTTTGCGCCGTACGTAGCCAACCGTGCTAATCGGAGGTGCGGGGGGAAGGACAACAACCTAAAGGCAGTTCTAAAGAAATTCGTTTTTAATCTAGATTTTAAAGTGCACAGTTCCAGTGGCTTCCTAATATCGGTAGGAAGAGCATTCCAGACGGCCGCAGAAGTGCATATTAAAGCGTGGAATGCAGTGACCGTCTTTGTTCGATGGTGAGCCAAATGCCACTGCCCCTACTGCGGTAAGGCAATTTAACACGTAAGCTTTCGCGACCAATATCATCCATGATACAGGTTTTTTTGGTTTTGAACTCGTAAACATATAAATGTGTCGATAAACCCGCCACCACCCGACACAGCCAACTAGTAAGGGTTTGTCATGTAAATAGAACGTGCCAATTCGTCACTAGTACAGCACTAACCGGTGTGTTGGAGAGCAACGCCACAACATTTACAATCTGAGTACGATGTCTCGCCAGTAATTACAACGGGCTTCATCAGGCGACCGCCACATTTGTGGAGAAATCCTCCCGTTTCGTTCCCTAAATAGAGGGGCAGGTGTGATGACGTCACTTGTGGTAGGGCAGTGACCCCAAGTGCCTCCAAGTGGGGCCCCCAATTTTGAGTGTGCATTGTTTCCGGGGTTTGTCACGTGTTCGTGATGTCCGTGCTCTGGGTTTTACTTCATAACATAGATAACAGAGGTCGACAAGCTTCTAGAGATCTGTGGGCGGGAGGGGGGTGGGAGAGCTTCTACTCTCGAGCGTTTTGGTGACAGCATCACAATCGTGTCGTTGGTACGTTCCTCGATTAGTCTGTTCATCGTTTGCGCGGTCGTGTTCGATCCAAAACCTTTGCACTTCAGCGAAGTAATCCATAACTAAGTTGATTCTCGCATGAACGATAGCCACGCATGCATTTTGTCTACATTTCTCTTTGTTTCACGACATCCATGCCTCTTGTTTATATCTGTAGCGCCCTACTTGTCCAGGGGTAGGAGGCATTGCTGGTAGAGGCAGGACAGCTAAAGAGATCAAATAAATGAAGACATTTATATACAAAATCAAAACACGTTCCTTCGGAGTGGGCAAGTAGGAACTTGGTTGGACAGCGCATTCGTGCACGACAGACAGACAAATAATCCCTGGTGGGGAGTGTGGAACCTGTTGTTCCTGTGTACAAGATCACTTGACTTGAGGTAGCCAGGCAGCCAGCCAGGTAGCCAGCCCCCTTAACTATCGGCCCC